TATTTGAGGAGGAAGCATGGAAATTTATGTCATGCTAATTAGTAGAGGTGATAAACATTACCATTGAAATCTACCTGATGGCTTTATAGACATGCACCAAGGATCCAAGTGCAACCGATTATGACTAGTAATAATCAGATGAATACAGATTAGAGATGCATGTGCTAACATCTCAGTGTTAGTAGCAAAAACAATGGGTCTTTTTGCAAGGAACAATATATTCTAAAATGAAGTGGAGATCTTTTTTAAAGGAAAAAACTCATCCAGTTTTATGTCTTATAGGGCTTATACTGAGTTCAATATTGTATAACTGTATTAACTCAACTCTGAACCTAGAAACTTACAGTCACTTTTGAAAGAGATGTACTCTTACACTGACTATGACTAGTAATAATCAGATATATAGAGATTAGAAACACATGTGCAAACATCTTAATGTTAATTGCACTGAAAATGAATTTTTCTGTATCAAAGTATATTTTAATAATGAAATGGAATTCTTTTTTAAATGTTAAAACCTCATTTAATTTTATGTCTTATGGGGTTTATATTGAGTACAGTATTGTGTAACTGTAATAATTCATATGTAAACCTAAAAATTACAGCCAATTTTGAAAAAGATGCATCTTAGCTCAGAAAATTGTTATTGAATATGTCAATGTTGTTGTAATGAAATATTTCTTCTAAGTATGTGGTTATTAAATAAATAAACTGGGAAAAAAAGATGTATTTCATAAAATGCACAAAACTTCACTAAAAATATGTTTAAAAATATTTTTTAAATGACATAAAAGATCTAGCCGCAGAATGCAAATATATATATTGGTCTTTTTGAGACAGGGTCTCCCAGTAGTGGGACTGGCCTAGAACTCACTATGTAGACCAGGATGATCTTGAACTCACAGAAATTCACCTGCCTCTGCCTCCCAATTGTTGGGATTAAAGGCGTTAAGGTTTATTTTTTATTTATGTATCTCCGTGTGTATGTCATGTGGGTGGGGGGAGGTGTACACAGAGAGGCTAGAAGAAGGTGTCAGATCCTCTGCAACTAGAGTTGCAGGCAGTTGTGAGCAGCCCAATGTAGGTGCTGGGAAATGAACGCAGGTCCTCTGCATGAACAGCAAGCGTTCTTGACCATTGAGCCATCTCTCCAGCCTCATAATTTTTAGAAGCATCCTTAAAACATGACAATTTTATAATAATATTGGAAATGTTATTACTGAAGAGGAAAAAAATGCTTATCTACAGAACAGGTAACTTTGTTATAATTGTTTTTCAAATAAACATAAGAATTGCTTCTATGTATGATACACAAAGTGATATTCACACACATGCACATGCACACACACACCGTGAGACTATTCAACTCACTCCACTAGCATACCCATTACATCACATACTTTCTGTGATGAGCACATATAAAACCTGCTCTAAGCACTTCAAGACTATAATTCATTATTAACTACAGTCATTACGCTGTAGAAAAGATCTCTTGGACTTATCCTTCCAATCTAAAATAAACTTTGCACTCTTGAATGAATGGCACCTCCCTGTGGCACTAGCCATTCCATGGCGACAACCACTGTGGTCTCTGATTCTATGAGTCTTGCTCTTTGGATTTGCAGTGAGATGATACATTTCTTGTCTTTCTGTGCCTGGCTTACATCACTCACACAGTGTTTTCCAGAATCAGTGGCTGAAAATGAGAGGTGATCCTGTTTTGTGCTAAGGAGCAGTCTGCTGTGAACTATCATAAACGTAAAATTTTTTCATCAATTATTGCATTCAATTTTCTAAAAGTCAAAGGTAAAATTTCTCTTAGCAGGCAAGGCTATACTCTTATAATTGCACAAGTTGTGATTCTTCCTCAATTCCCCTGACAAGATGCTAAGGGAAGTGAATAAATGTACCATCTGCTAATCCGACCATGGGGTTTTCAAATGAGCAAATGGATGAAGGCTGCATTATCACCCTCTGCGTACATAATGAAGACAGAGGCAATGCTGGGGTTGCCTGGCCTCAGGTCCGCCCAGCTTAGGGCCTGAAGAGGAACACCCACAGCAGCCCACAGCTCTGTCTCTCTACAGCCTGAACACTGAAAATGTGTCTTTCACAGTGTTTCCTTACTGCTAACTAGATCATTTTACGTTGCACTGTGTTCTCTGCAACACTGCAGGGCAAATTACCATGATAAAGTATAGAAATGTCAAAACAATGCCAGTTAGTATAATGGCGGCAAGTTTTTCTAAGATTCAGAAAATAATTTACAGTTGAGTCTTTAAGAATTCACACTTTTAAGTGAATGCCTAAACCGTTCAATTTACTTCTTGAGGAACTGAAGATCAGCCTGTCAACACCAAACATGTTATGGGTTGCTGTTTGCTTTTACAGACTTTCCAAGATTTCTGGTATCTCATCTTTACCAAAAAGGTGACTTATTGCAAGTCAACTTATAAACATCAAATGTAAGATTACAACTTCAGTAAAACAAGAAAAAAGAAACCAAAATTCATTCCAAGTATTTACATCGCAAGTATTAGACTTGAGAAAAGACTGGGGCCCAGAGCTCCACTTCCCATCACACACTGCGGGCATTAGTCCCACATCACTTCCAGAAAGAAATGGACGCAACGACTCTATTACTTAGAGCACACAGATTCATGGCTCTTTCTTCGCAAAAGCCGACATCTTGGTTCACATCACATATTTGCAAACTAAGGATGTACTTTAGTTGCACTGAAAGGACAAGAACCAAGAAACTGGAATAGCAGCGTTTTACATGTATGTTTTCATGAAATGAGGAAACAACTACGCAAGTGGTTGTTTGCAATGTAAGACCCCTAGAGCCATACTTTAACTTTATAATTGACTCCAACAAACCCCACACATAACCACCTTAACTAGCAGACAATGCCAAATCGATCTCTGACACAATAAAAATCATACTATTATCTAAGTAATTGTTCTAGTTTGTTCTTCATTGCTGTGACAAAACACTCTGACCAATACTAACTTGGGGAGGAAAGGCTTTATTCAGCTTACATCTCCCAGGTCCCAGTTCATCAGGGAGCCCAAGGTAGGAACTCAGGGCAGGAACCTGGAGGCAGGAGCTGGAGCACAGGCCATGGAGGAACGCTGCTTACTGGCTTGCTCCCCTGGCCCCTGCTCAGCTTGCTTTCTTATCCAACACAGACCCACCTGCTCAGGGGTGGCACTACCCACAGTGGGCTGGGCCCTCCCACATCACTCATCAAGAAGATGCCCCACAGACATGGCCACAGGCCAGTCCAATGGAGGCAATTCCCCAGCTGAGGCTCCCTCAACCCAGGTGTGTCAAGTTGACACTAAAGCTATCCAGCACAGTAATCTAATAAAAATCTATCTGTAAATTATTTTGTCCTAAACCCATAGAAAATAAACAGTTCATTTACAAAAATTATGCAATTTACATTTTTATTACAATTAGAAATCAATTTTATTTAAGGCAATTTTACATAAAACCTTTTTTTAAAAACTACCTAATTTTTCATTTTCTAAACATAATTCCTATATTTAAAGCTTTATATATGATAGCTGTACAATATGTAACAATGTAATAACAAGCTAAAGAATTATTCAAAGAGTTACTTCTGCCTATGTTGTCGGCACTAAAAATATTGGGAGAGAAACCATTGGGGTGGGGGCAGTTCTTAAGCACTTTAATAAAAATTGGACAAAAATATTTTTGTAAATTATGATTATCATCTAGTACAAGTATTCAAATATTCTCATAAAAACACATTTAATGTAAACAGACAAGGAATATCTGATCTTTTTGATCATGTACTATGTACCATGAATTGTGCTATAAGTACATTATTTCTCAGAGTAACTGGATCCCTATTTTATGTGTGTGGGGGCATCCAAGCACAAAGAGATCACACAGTCTATTCAGAGCCACACAGCCAGTCAGTGGCAGAGCTGATATTTAATCCCAGATAGTGTGATGCTGTCTCTGATTTCTGAACCACTAATTACATGATGTATAAGAAACACAGAGAGGCTGGAGAGATGGCTCAGCGGTTAAGGGCACTGACTGCTCTTAGAGAGGGCCCAGGCTCGATTCCCAGCACCCACATGGCAGCTACGAACCATCCTCAACTCCAGTTCCAGAGAAATCTGAAGCCCTCTTCTGACCTCTGTGGCATTGCACAACATGGGTCAGGTACTAAACAAAGCCCATTACAGTGTTTGTGCCCCTTGACTTACCTGGTAGTAACTCTGGATCTCCTTTCAGATTCATCATCTTTGGAATTGAAGGCCCGTACACATCTACATCTAACAAGCCAACGGCCTTGGACTATAAGAAAACAAAATTTACCCGAAGATTATTCATAGTGTTCATAACACAAATAAGTCTACAAAGCAAAAATCTGACTATTAAAAAGAAAACTTGCAAAATATCCCCAAACCATGACCTAAACAACAGAAGGATCACACGTTCCTGGGGGCACTTTTTAAATTACTGTTCTCTTTAGATTAGTGACCAGCTCAGACTCTTTTACAGATTTAAGTAATAAAATATTTTTAAAAAGGAAACACACGGAATGCAGCAGGTACTAAACAAAGCCCATTACAGTGTTTGTGCCCCTTGACTTACCTGGTAGTAACTCTGGATCTCCTTTCAGATTCATCATCTTTGGAATTGAAGGCCCGTACACATCTACATCTAACAAGCCAACGGCCTTGGACTATAAGAAAACAAAATTTACCCGAAGATTATTCATAGTGTTCATAACACAAATAAGTCTACAAGGCAAAAATCTGACTATTAAAAAGAAAACTTGCAAAATATCCCAAAACCATGACCTAAACAACAGAAGGATCACATGTTCCTGGGGGCACTTTTTAAATTACTGTTCCCTTTAGATTAGTGACCAGCTCAGGCTCTTTTACAGATTTAAAAAAAAAAAAAAAAGACTGATGTACACTGCTCTCAAAATCTACCGTACTATAAAATAAATGAGAAAATAGAAAAGATATTTTACTTTCAATAGCAAAGTGATATATGAAATTTACTGATACCTTTGAAGATTAAAGACTAAAAATTTACTACAAAATAATAAATCTCAATAAAACCAAAATATTTTAAGGTTCTTGTTCATTCTCTTACCTATATGAATGCTGGTTTTACAGAAACTTGAAGGAGCTAGTCTTATTCAAAATAATCTTCTAATAACATCTGTCAAGCAAAATAACTTAGCCTCAAGACCATTAAGGTGTTCAACAACATCAGTAATTAGGGAATGCAAATTAAAACCACTTTAAGATTTCATCTTACCCCAGTCAGACTGGTTAAGATCAAGAAAACAAATGATACCAAATGTTGGAGAGGATGTGGGGAAAGGGGAATGCTCATCCACTACTGGTGGGATTGCAAACTTTTTCAACCTAAAAAACTACAAATGAAACCACCATATGACCCGGTTATACCACTCCTTGACATATACCCAAAGGACTCATCCTATTGCAGAGACACTTGTACATCCATGTTTGTTGCTGCTCTTTTCACAATAGCCAAGAGATAGAAGCAACCTAAGTATCCCTCATCTGACAAGTGGATAATGAAAATGTGGTTCGGGGCTGGAGGGATGGCTCAGCAGTTAAGAACACTGTTCTTGCAGAAGACCCGGGTTCAAATCCCAGCACCCACATGGCAGCTAACAACTGTCCATAACTCCAGTTCCAGGGGATCCGACAGCCTCTTCTGTCCTCTGTGGGCATTGCACAACATGGGCGCACTTACCAAAATGCAGGCATAACACTCATATACATAAAATAAATAAAATAAAATATTTTTAA